GTTGTTTTAAATAACTAGAAGGAGTTGATTATTATTGTGCACATGACTAGCAATTTTCTGGGTTCATTAGTCAAAAATATCATATGCTAATAATATAACTGAGTCCAAGAAATGTTGCATAACTGCATGGACTACATGGCTAGCTTGTGTTATTGAGAGAATTTAAGCTTATTGGAACTACATTCCCAAATGTTCTAGTTTGAGGAAATGTAACCCGGCAGAAATGATCTTTGAAGACAGAATATTGGACTAGATGCACCTCGGCTTTGGCACAGTAATAAAGTATCCATGTTTTCAGGAAGGGCCCCTCAGCTTTCCCTGCAGTGAAAACAATATAGCATTTAATTTTTAGACAGGCAGTTATATGCAGATAAACATTTCAGTCTTCTGGAAGCAGTGCAAAACTTATTATCCTAACAAATAAATATGTATAATTTAATGACTTAACTGTAACATTGTTAAATCATAACTATTTAAGATGATGAATTCACTGCATTTTTAAAGCTCTTGCAGCTAAGCCCTGAATCAATAAACTTCCTGAGCCTCACTAAAACCCTAGCTATCAAGCCAAAATGAATTCCAGTGCTTCTTTAAAGCTGGACAGTCATTTTGCCTTTGTCTGGATAATTGCAACATTAGGAAAGACTTAGGCAAGTAGACTCGGGCTGGGCCCTTTGCTGATTTCAGGCAATCATTAAGTTCTCAGAAAATTCAATGTCTTTAGCTAATGAAGGAGGAAGATCGACCCTCACCATTACCCATGGAATCTCTTTTTTACTCACTAAAAGGAAATATTATCATTCTAGTTCCCATGTGCCATAAGTACTTTTTCTATTTCAATAGTCTCTCTTCAATCTTATTACTGTGCTCTGCAGGCAGTACTGTAGGCAGGCCGAGATGAAGCCACTAAAGGAAAAGAGTTGCTATAACTGCTCTAAGTTCCATCACAGCCGAATTTTACCAAAATTTTTATTTCCATTCACTCCTTCGTTAAAAGAACTAGTGTAAAATAAAAATGCCTGAATTGAGTTGTAATTCCTTTCTCTGATGTATTCTTGGTGACAGTTCACTAAAGAGAAACCCCAAAAGAGAAAAGGCAAAGAAAAACTGAATAAAAGATCACAACAACAAAAAATCACTTCAGTATACCAGGCTACTTTAATCTAGAAGAACTCTAAAACATTTATAAAGGATCCAATGAAAGAATGAGGCAAATTATTTCCTCTCCCCTCAGAAATAAAAAAAACTGAAATTACAAGTATTTTTTCAAATGTGAGATTCGGAGAAACATCTGGTAAAAAATTCAGTTGCTCAGGAGCTATCTATTATATTTAATAAGAACCATGTACTTTTAAAGTGACTCAAACAAGGCCCAAATCTATGCTGATAAATTTACCATCAATACAGAAAAAAAATCAACTTAAAAATAAAGTCTCTGCTTACTTTTTAAGATGGTTTATCTAGTGGCAGACTTACTTTGAGGATAAGTAAAACATGAGATAAATATAAACTTTAATATTTTTAAAGAACATATTTTATGATTAACATTTTTAAGAATACAGGCCAAGAATAGTGTACTCCAGGCATGGTTAGCAACACAGAAGAAAAACAAAAAAAAGGAAAATATTTAATGAGTATAAAATTTTATAAGAAATGTATTATATTCCATTCCATGTGACATCAAATTTAATAGTTTCAGGAAGCAGAGCAAATACTGTCCCTGATGTCTACCTTTCAGTACATATACGAAATGCTGTTTCTATGAAGACAGATTTGCCTCACTCATACTGCATGGGTTCGTAAATTCTCTTTTCCCCAATCAACTAGTTACATCTGCAGTCCCAGCATTTCTTTCCAAAAGGAATTAGGGCCAAGCAAGACAAATAATTTGCTGATACACATATGTCACTCCAAGAATTCTCCTGACAAAGCCTCCACACCCAATTAATTACTTCCCTACTGTAAAAACACTTTCCAATCTGTATTTATTCGAATCATTGAAAATCCAAAACCAACACAGAATAAAAAGCTGGCTAAATAAATGAATGACATTAACTCTAGGTTCCAAGTGAGGCAGCATTTTGTAAGACAGGAGGTTTTCAGCTTGGACTTTATGCTGATACAGTATATTTCATTTTGAGCTCAAGTCCGTACTGAAGGTTTGTTTAGAACAGAATCATGAAGCACCAGGCTTTAAACTCTACAATCCAACTGAGTCTGTCTATCTGTCTCTCTCAAACAAACATACACACACATGCATTTGCAAGTGGATTAAGGAAAAGGGAGAAAATGAGAAAATATAAATGTAATGGTTCTTAATGGTTAAAAAATAATGAACCCCTTTTTGCATACTAAATCACTGCTTAGGGTTATAGAAGCAGAACCTCTGTGAAAGCACATAATAAATGTTATTTTAAGCATTTTTTGATTCCTTAACTATTCAGTAATTATCATATCCTTTTATACAAAGTGCTCTTCAGCCTACTTTTATTCTTTTCTTCGTGAGTGTCAGTTTAGGGTCTCCCAGCTTTAGTGTCAGTAACTAAATTTCAAAATCCCAGAACGGTCATATTGCATGGTACTGACCCTGGCTACAGTGTGGAGTTTGGTCACCAAAGCAAAAATCAGGAAAAAACCGGCCACCGCGAAGATGTCTGGGCACCGTGAAAGCCTAAGTGACCCCAGGTTCTCTTGAAGGCTTTTACATCTAGAGTTTTGATAAGGATTGTTTATTTAGTGTATTTGTTTTTGATTGCAAAAAAGCGTTAGCATTCTTAGAAAGTCATTTGCCTAATTTTACCCATTTATATTACATAGAAAGTAACTTTTTTTTTTTTTTGGTACCGGGGATCCAACTCGGTCCTTGAGCTTGCGCAGCAGGGGGCGAAGAAAGTAACTTTTAAGAAGTAGCTAATCCATGGAAAATATCTGCTAATTTCTAGGAACTGCAGCCACTTTTCAATTTACAGGGATAATATTATTAAAGAATAGAATACATTTTTAAACAATCTTGAGAAATAACCAGTACTTATCTTAAAAGTAAAATTTATTTCACTCCTCGGTTTTTTGTTTTTGTTTCTGGTGCAGTGGTGGGATGGAGCCCGGGGCCTCGTGCATGCTGCCAAGCGATCCATCCCCTCAGCTCTGAAACGCTACTTTGAATGTCACACAGGCTGAGATTTTCCTATATAAAAAAGAATGATCTAATTTCAAACTCCACTGAGCTATGAAAACTTTTGAATTTTTCTCTAACTTACTGAAGCAGCCTGTGAATACCAAGTCAGTTTGGTAGCTTTCTACCAAATTGGCTTAAAATTTATTATCAAAAAATCCTGAGCAACCTCAAGCACAAAAACTGATATGAAATATTAATAACACAGATGATTACTGCTCTGTTTTTCCTTCTGACTCTGTCTTCAAGATACACTGAGTATTCGCTAGGGTTGTTCTCTAATTTGTAATGAAGTTTTGCTTTTTTTCACAGAAGAATGTTTTTAAAAAATATTTTTGTTAGTGTTTACTTGTATTAAATTGAAATAAAGTTTTTCAAAAAAAATGGCACACTGACATTTACAAAATGATTGCATTACTTCTATAGCCCTTTCAGAGCATGCAGAATGATTTGGAAGGAAGCACCTGCAAGGCATAGTGCTCCAGCTCTTCTTTCTCTCTACACGTCCTACCTTTCTGTGCTTTGCAGGAAAATAATTAACAGTTCATCCATTTTCTAATGCTCCCATAAGCTGAAAATTATTTCATTCTATTTGATAGCTAATCAGAAATCCTAAAGATAAGGGCCAGGGATATAGCTCAGAGGAACCGTGCCTGCCTCACAACCCCAAGGGCAAGGTCCTGAGTTCGATCTCCAGTACCAAAAAACCAAAAAAGAAAGAAAGACTAAAGAGCAAATAATCTTATATTATATATTACATGCCATTAAAGATCCAAAGGAACAGATTATACATGTACAATCATTTTGATATCTAGAAGAATCAGTGATAAGCATATCATACTGGTACATAATACATACTTGATCTATAAAAGAAAAATATAGTGACCATTAACATTTTATCAAGATTTGTATTGTTTTTCTGAACCAAGAAAATTATTAACCATGTCATATGCTACAGTGAGTAGCACAAGACCCTAGTACCCACCTCACAATGAATACAAATTTCTCAGTGTAATAGGGTAAGTCACATCATTAACATCCTATCAAAGACATATGCTTATTATTCTCACGGTATTTGCAACAGTTTTGTTTCTCCATTTAATATTCTTTTGGGGGAGTACCGAGTATCAAACTCGGATCGTCGCACTTGCCAGACAGGCGCCAGGACCACTGAGCTAAATCCCCGGCCCTTCTCCATTTAATATTGAGGCCTAAGTTTTGAAATGAATGTAATGAAAATGCACAGGCCTAAAAATCTGTTTGGGATCTGGTCCAACCACAAACAACAAAATGGTGCTACGTTCTTCCATTGAGCTGCGTGACAATTTTAATTCATCATTTTTACCAGCTTCTAAAAAGCAAAAAGACCATGCCAAGTTAATGTTGAGTTTAACAATCTGACAGCATTCTCAAACTCTAGAAGTATTTCTTGTGAAAGATATTTTGGGGAGGCTGTTTTATTTTTTTTGTAAATACAGATTTGTCAGTTATTCCATAACAGGCACAATTTCAGATCTAAATGGATTATAAGAACAGAGTAGAATGAAAAAGTAAGGTTAACTTAAAACAACATCTAAGGGAATATTTTCAAGTATTTCTAGAGATATTTCTATAATCATTTTAAAAAACTAACTTCAATCAATCTTCTTTATTGATGATATGATTAATGATACTTTAGTCATTGTAATACCTAATTTCCATACACAAAAATTCTTTAAGACATTCGATGTTTCAAGTCACAGTTGAGCCTGTGGTATAGTCTAATATTCTATTAATTCTCAAAATTGCAGTTTTTCTCAGTGAAGTCTTGATCTTTATTTTACTGTACCTGGAATTCTGAGGTTCTGAAACATCGGATTCTGTGCACGTTTTCTTTACCTGTAAGAAAACAGTACCAGTTATTCTCACATGAAATTCAACTTCCTCACTCAAGGTCACAGACTTGTTAAAGTGGAGACAGTTCTGGTCACCAAGATCTCTATAAAATATTCCTCACATTTTACAGCAACAGCATGCAGTACTAAATTGCATATTTCATTATTATCCCATGAACAGCTGCCAAATGCACTCCCCTGCTCTCCGTTAGTATGTAAAATGTTCAGCTAAAATAGCTGGGGACCAGCCGGACAAAAAACAAAGAAACTGAAGAACTAAGTTTCCCTGTTAGGAACTAGCAAGCATACTATTCACAATAATAATCAGGTTCTGAGACAGAGCATAGTGTTAGCTAACACATTCCTGTATTAATTTTCATTATTTCAGCCAAAGGACTATATGTCTTATATGTTCAGCATACTGATTAAGTTTCGATATTATTCTTAGACTTCTCAAACATATTTGCAGTATATTTCAAGAATGTATTTCAATGTTGAGGTTTTTAACCCACAAAGGATAAAGAATGAAAAAAAATGTTGCTGCTAGGGTATGTTATCTATTTCTGCACAGACATATGGGGTACATCCTCTAAAATGAGGTAACGCACATACTCTTCACATCTTCCACATGTTAACTTCAGGCAGAGACATTTACATCTGATTATTACGGTCTTAAAGCTATATGCATACAGAGGTAATCTTAAAACTCCTTTAGTTAACATGGGAAGTGTAAAATATACATTTACAAGTCCATTGCCTTATGTTCTAAGTGTTCATACTGACATGGCCTATCTATGCATCCTACAGAATCCTAGAAGTTTTAGCTTCTAATATATGCCTTGGAAGTGAAAAAAAAAAAGTGTATTGGATGTGTACCATAGCCACACTTGTTTGGTGTGAATTATAAAATGAATAATAACGCTAAACAATAGGTTTTGAATTTTAAAGATACAGTATTACATTTCCAGTTTAGAAAGTAATTCTTTCCCTGGCTTAGAAGAATGGTTAAAAATCAAACACAAAACCCTCTATACTCGTAAAAATCTATGTATTTTGCTGTTCTTTCCAAGCCTAGACATGGTGTAATCTGGAAAATCAACTGTTTGCTTGATTAACTTTGTTCTCTTTTTTTGCTCCCTGTGCATACATTTACACTACATGAAAATAAAAACTGAGTAGCAAAGACATTGCCATTCTGTTCTATTCAGTCACTTCCATGCCCTTAAGATGGAACTGCATTGGAAGATGGAGGGGTGAAGAAATGTTTTCAAAAGTAATTACTGAAGAAAGAAGAGAAAGAGGAGAAGGAAGAGGAGGAGGAGGAGAAAGAGAAAGAAGAGGAAGAGGAGGAGGAGGAGAAAGCCATCTTGCGTGTAGCTCTTACCTGTAGTCCGAGCACCCTGGGAAGCTAAGACAGGAAGATCACAAGTTCAAGCCTAGCGTGAGCAATTTAGGAACCCTGTCTCAAAATTAAAATGGCTGTGGTTACAGTTCTGTATGAAAGTCCTGGGTTCAAGCCCTAGCACTGAGAAAGAAAGAAAAAAGGAGGAGGAGTAAGATAATAATGAAGAGAAAGTAAAATGAGGGGAAAAAAAGGAAATGTCATCACAAAGCTTAATAGAAAATCCATAAAAGTCTTGTCCATTAAAAATCTGTCCAAGAAAAATAAGAATCAAATGGGAAGTACATCAGGAGACAGAATACTTTTTTCCCATGGCTTACCACCAGAAACTATAGAAACTGCCTAATGAGTACACAGAAATCACCATAAAATGAATGCCGTTTTCCTGAAGACCATGATGGGACTTTGGGAATAAGAAGACATACTCTCAATCAAGACTCAAAACCAGATAAGCTTCCCATAATTGAAACACAAAGTATTTTTAAAATATCCATGACTTTCCAAAGCTATTCTCCAAATAGCTTATGAGAAAGTTCTGATTATATTTAAATAGCTTCAAAGAAATGATTGTAATACAGAGAATAAATCTATTGCTTTACTTACTGTTTAATACAGAAGTTCAGGCTTATACATTTTATGAAAACTAGGGTTTGAATTTAAATTATGGGCACGAATTCTGCCTCATTTCTTGGCCTGCTTGTTTCCACTTTATTTAAAATAGTTCCAAAGCAAATTGGTATTTCACTGAAGACAAAGGTTCTACATACTCTAGGGGAAATACTTTTCTTTGCATAGCATATATAGCCCAGGATTTCCCATTTAATAATGGGAGAAAGTACTGTACATCCTTTTAGATATTATTAGAGCTATGCATTTATCCAAAAAGGATGTCAGTAGAGGTTTCACTTACTTTCTCATGGCTAAGTGAGGAAAGGATAATATTTAGAACCCTGTGACTGACATAGGGAGGTCAATATAAAGTACGGTGGACATTCAAAGGCCGAACTACCCTGGGCATAGGAAGAAGGCAAATGAAACAGGAAGTGGCTTCAGATCTGAGTCTTAAAGGATACAGGACTCAAAGACCCAGTCTGGAGGAAACAGGCACTGTGTCACAGGGTTTGACAGAAGAATTACATGTGAAGCCCTTATATTGAGTAAAGAATTGGAAACTAACCTTTAGGCAATGTTGATTGCTGAACAGTTTTATAGAGATGCTTTGAGTAGAGACGGCTTAGAAGATAGTGGGAAAAAAAGGAGAAAAGAGAAGCCTGAAAGACAGGTAAGAGCCTTATGCAATAAGGAACACAGAGATGGTATTGACCTTAAGCATGCATCATTACATCCTCAGCCCTGATAGGATGCTCCTCACATACTAGTTCGCTAAGAAAAATCACTCAACCTATTGCTAAGAGGTGGAGAAGATCTGAACTAAAACAGGAGCCAAGGAGTGTGGTGGTGCAACCCAGAATCCCAGCACTCCGTGTGGTGGAGGCAGCAGGGTCACAAGTTTGAAACCAGCCTGTGGACAAAAACTACCTGAAAAGGAAAAGACGTGTCAATGCACTCAAGTTGGCTATAGTAAAATGAATTTTAGCCGACTTAATGTCTTGTCCTAGGAATTATAAAACCACTTGTAAAAGGAAAGCATGCTGAAGATTTTAAGTATTCAATGAACAAACAAATATCAAAATACTAATTTGTGGACCTAAGAAATGAATACTAATTAAATTCTGAGTATTTTTATATGCTTGACACAATGCTTAGGTAGACACTATTTTCCCATATAATATTTCCATATAATACTGAGAACAAAAATAAATTGATCTCTATGTAAGTTAAGTAGAAAACTTCAAAGTCAGATAGATAAGGGCATTTTAACAGGATGAGAATTTAAAATTCATACACATATAAACTAAAGTGAATAACAAAACATTCTTAGATCTCTTGCAAATGGGAAGGGATCCAGGAGACCCAGGGTGAGGGGAGAAGGGGAGGGAATGGGGAAGTAAGTAGAATAAAGATTCACCACGCAAGGAACCTAATAGCCTTAGTGAATATAAACACTATATGCTATAAATATGAGCTAAGATTAATAATATCAACAAGAATGAAAATGGGTAAAGGGGATTTAGAGGAAGAGGGAGGGAGCTGAGAGAGAAGGGGAAGAGGATTATGTGTACACGTACCCACTACACAAGATGATTGTAAACTGCACACACTGCAAACATGTACTAATAAAAAAAGAGAAATTTCTAAAAACTGAATTTCTATTATATCATAATACAGCATTGTCATTTATTCAACAATTTTTTTCTACTATCTATATAATGAAGATAGATATGACCAATGTGTACTTTACTTTCTCTTATTGCTGAGACAAAATACTCAACACCCCAAGTTAAACGGGGGGAAGAGTTTATTTAGCTCAGTTTGTAGAGGTTTCAGTCCATAATCAGTTGGCTCCAAGGCACAGGTGGCATGGCAGAGGGGCAACAGTTCATGGCGGTGGAAGACAGCAGAAGCAACAAGAGAAACAGTTCATGGTGGCCAGAAAGTAACAAAAGCAACAAGGGACTTTACCAGTGTCTTTCTGCTCTTTTCATCTTATTCAGACTACCAGAATTAGGGCAGTGCCAAACCAATCACTCACATGTAGTGGTTTAGTAATCACAGCCCTCAATCCCAGCATCACACACTCTAGATTCATCCACCTCTGGAAAAGCATGAGGCTTTGGGGAACATCTAACCACAAGCTTCAAAACTGAGCTTCAAAGATGTTATAAAACACCCATGTCCACTGCTGGCACCAGCACGGCTAGAATCAGACTGAGGACTACACATCAAGGCTTTCTTTCATTCCTAGGCTAGATTTGCCAGTTGCTTTTTAGGCTGTCCTTTCTTTCTTCTTGAGGTATGGTTGAAAGACAAAAAAAAGTGTACATATTTAAGGTATACAGCCTGATGAGTTTGGAGCAGTAGACACCTATGAAACCTCCACCATAGTCTATGCTGTGAACACATCCATCACCTCTAAAAGTCTTCCCACCTCTGTGTGTGTGTGTGTGTGCGTGTGTGTGTGTGTGTGTGTGTGTGTGTGTGGACATGATACATACACATAAGATCTATTCTCTTGGTAAAACTTTAATTGTGCAATACATTACTAGTATTATTTCTGGGTACTATGCTGCACAGTGGATCTATCTCTAAGAATTGCTCATCTTACACAACTAGAACCTGGGGCCCTGTTGAAACTAAGACTTGAAGTGAAAGTTTTATGGAATAGTTTTGAAAGAAGAACCTTCATTTTATAAAATACATCAACCATTAAATACATCTGTTGAACTGACTCCTGAAGTACCCAGTTTTCAAACAAGTACTAGTAACATTTAATCTTCAGGTCGGCAAAATGAAAGGAATTTTGAAAAACTTATCCAGATACCTCGGGTGTCTACCACCAACCACAGTACAAACAGCTGCAAAAGGAAGGTCTAATTGGAAAAACAAGTTCTGAGTTTTGTTTTGTTTTGTTTTGCTTTGTTTTTTCCTGTCCAAAATAGCACAATGTGCTCATTTCGCTAGGCATTACTGAATGCCTGGGA